GCCACACAGTATTAGGCTGGTACCTCTTTAACTTGCTCATTACCAGTGAGATTTTACAGTCCTGCTTCTGCTGGCCAAAGCTTCCATTAGCAGTAATCCTTTTGCTGGACCACTTCCCCTCATCAGACATTGACCTAGCCACAGATATCAAATAGCATCTACGTGGCCAAGACGACTGAACAGAGCTCAAGACGTTTCTTGCCAGTAGCATTCATGGCAGACACAGCCCTGTGGGTCTCAGCACATGTTGCTCTGCATCTTTTGAGCACTTTTCATGGGTGGGTTTTCGGCTTAGGTGATAACAAGTGCTCAGGCCTTTTCATAAGAGCCACACTTCCAAGAGAGAGCAATTCTTATTTAGGCATCACAGCAATACCTATACTACCAAAATCACCTGTCTGGCTGGGCAATAAAACCTGGACAGAAATATCACTGAACTTTTCTGTACTGGGTAAAATTAAGCACAGTGCAAAGACAGCAAACCAACTGAGGAAAACTTTAAATCTGGAGCTGGAGTATAGTGCAGCGTTCAAGGTAGGAATGCTGGTGGGAAAATGGGAACATAGGAGATCCCTGGGGACAGCCCACATACATGCAGAAGGATCCAGGCTAAGGTTTCTCTTAGTAGCTGTCTTCCTTCAAGTGTATATTAGAAAAAAAAATGTCCTATCTTGATTTTAAAATTAGTGGAGAATCTACAATAAGTCCTGGTAAGTTGTTCTAACAATTACGCACAATAGCAAAAATTGATATTTTATACTTAATTCAGTTGCACACAAGAGTGTTTAGAGCTGTCTGAGGTTCCCTAGGATATCTGGGATGTCTGCAGTGCCTGGCAGTTTGAAACGGTACCAGTGGGAGACCACCGGAGACTGCAAAGCACCTCAAATCGCCCCAGCTATCCCTGTATGAGCAGCTGAATTGAGCCCTTTCTACCTATCTTGCTTCTGTTCTGGCCACTGATTCCTGTTCCAACTTTACCCTTTATCCTTATGCTTCTGCTCTTGCACAGATATTTATAGACTGCAAACAGGTCACCCATAATATTCCTTTCCTGTAAGTAATTAAAGAGCATTCCTTGAGAAGCTTCAATGCATAGCTGCACGTTGTATGCAGTGGTATCTTTTCAGGAACGTGGTTCCTACCAGCTTTGTTTGATGCCCTATAACGCTTGTATTTGACTGGATAGTAAACAAACAACTTCATCCCTGTTACTTTACCCTGCTACTCACAATTTTACAGGTGCTATCATAATTTGATTCAGTATCAGTACTAAATCATTATAATTCCTTATTCCTATGCCTCATTCATCCCAAGATCACAACAAGAAATACCTCATTATTCACAAGAAGCATGATTTTTATTTTTAATTATTAATTTGAGTCAGACTCCATCGTCTCATCAATCTCAGATTTTTCTCCTGAATGTGTCCTTTTACTTTTCCAAATCAAAATATACTCTTCCCATTTGCTCCCAGTTCCCATGCAGAGATTGAGGTACTTTTGTTTCAGGGAACTCTCCTCTTCATTATTTAACACTCCATAGCCACAGTTTTAGACTCCTACACATTTGGTAGACAATGATTCTTTATTTTCCCCCCAAACCAATGACAGAAACAGGAATAACGAACCAGTTTCCACAGGATTTCCCTGCAAGGAGACTTGAGGATTCATTTTTCACAGTGACATACTGAGATCTCTGTTTAACCAGCTAGATCCACTTAATTTGCACCATGTTGACTTTATGCCATTTTTTAAAAATCCACCTCCAGGATGGTTTTAACCAAATGCTTTCAGAAATCAGTTACATCAAGAGTTGCTCACTCTTACTGGAGAACAACAGCAAATTGATTTGACAAGGCCTATATACACACACTCATTTGTATCAATCACATTGCCTTCCTTTAAGAATTCGTTAATCAAGTGATGTGCCCACCATTTCTTGCCTTTAACAGTGACAGGCTGACAGTCTTAGCATTACCCAAATCATTTGCCCAATCCTTTTAATAATGAGTCAGTATCAGCTTTCTTAGTCCTCTAAAATCTTTCTAGTGCCCCAAAATGAAAGTCAGCAGTTAATGGCCCAGACGCTACTGTTCCTGGTTCTAAGAGTTCTGAAACTCTTGGCTGTGAATTACCAGGACTGGCTGATCATAAAATATTTAATTTATGTGGCTGCTATTTAACATAATCCCTAGTTATTAATGGAGCCCAAAATGCTCTTTCACCAGCATGTGATTACTAATACATTATCTGATTTTCTCCCCCCAGACAAACATGGAAAAGAAATATTAATTTAATACTCCTCCATTTCCTTGTGGTGGTGATGGCAGCTACTGCCTTTATCTACTAATAGTTTTGATTATTTTTACCTTTGATGACTATAAATTTATTTTCATGTTTTTCTACTCCCATTACTCATTCCAGAGGCAGAGGTGGCCTATTCAGATGAATTAAGACCAAAAGATACCGGCCTTTACCTTACTCTATAGAGTGATCACTATAGGGCAAGCAGCCCAGAGCACCAACCTCCGTTTCAAATATCCCATTACACATCAACAACACGTAAAAAGCACAGAGATATTTCTTTATTCAGCCCAGGTCAGCTTCTAGCTTTAAGCAGGAGGGATGAAGACCCCTGCTTAAACACTCCTCCCAGAAAAGACACTATCCAATAGTACCAAGTTAGTCACACCTCACTGTCAGGTGGACGTTTTTATTGTTGCAAAAATAAAATCAGGATTAAATTTGTGGGATCAGAGTGGGGATTTTTAAACACTTTTTATGAATCTTAAGCCTGGGGAGAGGCAGGAGGAATGCCGGGTGCCAAGAGCTTCTGCAAAGGTGTTACCAAACACCTGGAGGGTGCACTTAATCCACCCGCAAACAGTTGACATCCTTCTGTCTCCCACCAGGCTCCTCTTTCCCCCCAAAACCAGAGGTCAGGCTTCTTCCCCAGTTTTGGTAAAAACACTTCTGATATGCAGTTACTGAAGACTGGCCACATCCCTTTGTCCCCCAAAACTCTGAAATTCCCACTTGCAACTGTCTCACTCCCAAGGTGTCTATTTAATCCCACTTTTAGTAGGAGCACAGCTCTGGGTAGCTTACAGGTTACAAACAATGAAGCTTTCATCAAAACTTTGGCTAATCAGTCACTAACAAGCTCTCATTCAGGAAGGGGCTAGGCAGGCCCAGGCTAAAACTAACCTGAGGGGGTAAAAAAAGGAGGAAAAAAAAAAAAAAAGGATTGGGAAGAGGGTGTTTCTCTCAACCTGGATCAGTGCCCCAGTCCACAGCCACAAAACACTTGTTGGAGCACAGCAGCCAGAAAAAGCAGCCAGGAGTGGACACAGAGCAGAACTGCTTCTTTCAGAGACGGCGTTCCCTCACAGCAGCTTAAAGTGCCGGAGTAACTATGGCTGGCGTTAAACTAGGATTTGTTCCTTGCTTTGTGCCAGAGTCCAGGGGCTCCATCACACTCAGCACCGACATAAACACACCTGAAAAATATTTGCTATTCCAAAATGCTAGCTCTCAGTCTGCAGCCTGCAGTGTTTTTTACGGAGATGGTGAACTAGAAACAAAAGCAAAACAAGCCTGTTGTCGGTAGCCTGAAAATCATGAAACAAGGACACCTCCCATGGAAATGTTGTAGGGTCTCAAAAATCAAGAAAGATTTGAAAACCTCAGATCTTATCATAAGGTAAGTTGGCAAAATTTGATCGCCAGAACTTCAGTCCAATAGATGACTAGATACAGGGAGGGAGGAATATACATTCTTCTTCTTAGGTAAGGGATAAAAATTACTTCAACCTATATACATGTACACAGAACACCCTTCCCAGATTCACAGCAGTGAAACATCTATTGCACACAATCAGATATTCTCTGTTACCTATTTGCAGGACAAATCAGAGGTTGAGTGAAAAAAGATACTTTCTTAGAACATATTAATATGCGTCAAGTACCCAGTCTAGGAAGGAATAGGCTTAGCAGTAAATAAGAGAGTGGTACTAGAGCTTAAATTTAATTTCAGCTGTTCTTAGTCAATTCCTTGATATTCTTGAAAGTGAAGCCACAGAACACTGCAAGAGAAAAGATAATTCTCCCATCTTGTCCCTGAGGATGAAGAACTCATTCCCAATTTCATTGATTACTCTGGAGAAAGATATAAAAGAATTCTTCATGTGCAGGTTGTATGTGGGCCATAGAGTTACTGCCTTGTCTCTTGCCAACCCTGTGGAAAGAGACTTATATTGCAAATGCAGCCAAAACAAACCAAACCTATAGTTCCTGCTTCACTGCAGCAATTTGGAGCCATTGAAGGGATCCTGGTCTCTCTCTCTCACTGGTAAAGTCAACAGCAGCCAACATGAGCTATGAGGATCCCGATCCTCCAACACTTGCCCTGTGCCTACCCCTCAGCATCCCTGGGAAAGGGAGGAAAACCCAGGTGAGGTGCGGGTATCGGTTCCTGCTGCAAGGCTGGGTGCTCAGGTCTGAAGCATTTTCAGGTTTCCGTGTTCAGCTGTACACACCTGAGATCCACAACAGGAAAGTTAAGCCTGTACCTACACGTTCAGAGGAGCAGGGGCCTTGGAGGCAAAAACAGTGTCTTCCTTACAGCAGGGAAAAGCACTTGCCGCATGCAAGGCAAGGACAAGCACAACACCAAAGCGAATGGTGTGGCTAGCACAAGGCAAGGATGGCAAGGACCTTGCTCTCCTGCAGCACTTATCCTTGGGAAGTCTTGAAACACTTTCCAAGGCAGCTGGCTGGAGAGGTGTGCACATCACCGCAGCTGGCAGGGGAGACAGGTCAGCCCCTGACTCCCCGGTGCCATGGGCTCCTCTACACGGCAGAGCTCACTGCCACACGCACAATGCCAACGCTAACGAATGTCCCAGAGACTCAGTAATAACAGAGTAATTTCACAGCGTTGCTCAAGCCCAACCCCGAATCTGTTCGCAGTGATGGACAGTACCCTCAGATTCTTACCTTGACACTGATTTCAGTTTTGCATTTCGGCACCTTGCTGACCAGCTTCTCGGTGCGTTTCTGAAAGGCAAACATCTCCCAGAGCTCCCTGGAAAAAAGCAGCATTTAGAAAGCAGAGAGGCAGAGCGCTGGATCTCTTCATTCTGCTTTCCTCATGCCTTGGCAGGAGGGAACAGCAACAGGTTTGTACTGAGAGCTGACGATGTTTTGAGGCAAGACTGCACGCTACTTGCAGGCTAAATGCATTAAGAAAATTAAACATTTTTACAGCCGTCACACCATCAAAGCTTTATTCTCTCCACTCTTTAAATTAAGTGTTGGTTTGCATATCCGTGCCATTCCAGCTATGTAACAACCTCTCTAAAGTTATTTTTGTTTCACGTTCCTTAGTATTTGGTAAAGCAAGCTGGAGTTTTCTGAGGACACGCATTTTTATTAGAGCTAATTCAGCATTATTTTTCTCACCCATTTCCTTTGTTGGAAGCAGAGAAATCAACTAAAGAAAACTCGAGGGCAGAGTACCATGCCTCTGAGGGAAACTGCCTTCCCTACCTCGCCATAGCCAGGCTGTTCCTCTAGATGGCTCTGCCTTTGCCCAAATACATCAAATCCCTGGAGCAAAAATCGCAATTTCGAGCGATACAGCGATACCACGGGCTGCTCCTCTCTCTCCTCCAACAATCGTGGGTGTTTTGAGCAAACAGATAAACACAGATTTGCTGCAATTTTAGAGAACAACATTTTCGGCTTAGCTCTTCAAACACAGAGGAAATTGCTTTTTAAAAATCTACCTGCTTCTTGTCCTTTAGATGTTCTTTCTAGCTGATTTCCCCATGAACTGCTTGTTTTAGATGCCCGTTGTCCAGTTAGACTTCAAATCAGCATTTTCCAGTGTGACCCTTCTCCAAAGAGATGCGGAGCTGTTATATATAACACGGGCAACGAAGCTGAGAAGGGAAAAGGCACCTTCCGAAACATAATGTAAAATTTTCTCCTGCCGTTCTGGCTGTCCAAATACACGCAGTAAGCTGTTTCCCTGAAAGATGCAAAATAAAATCAGCAGCAGCAACAGTCACAGAAACAAAGTAACAACAGGAAAAAACAGCCCACCTCCAAAAAAAAACCCAAAACACAAAAAATCAAAAAACCAAACACTTCCACTTATGATTAAAGAAGGAAACTCCAAATCATAATTCTTTATTCCACTCACTTTTAAGTGATTCTCTGCCTCCAAACTGTCTGTCCACTTGTTTTACAACGAAATATAATGGTGAAAAACCTCCAGTTATTACATCCCTTCTTAGATCACATGAGAGATGAAAGTTTGGGATTGGAGGTAGCCTGGGAAAACTGCCCCGATTCAGCTTCACTGATTTACATGTGAGTTTATCACTATTTTATCAAAGACATAAAATGCAAAGATTTTTCCCAAACGCTCCTCTCTCCCAAAAATCCTGATATCAAATCAAGATACTCGGCGCTTGCAACCCTGGGGAGAGCGCTTCGCGTCTGTAGCTGGAAAGGGGATTTTTTAGGCATTTTTACCAGCAGAAAACCGAATACCAATCCCGTTTAAAACCCGGGGATTTACATCTTGTAAGCGACTGGCAAAGCCTCTCTCAATTCTCCCGCACATTGACCGTATTTTTCTTGTTATATGTGTGGGTGAGATCGTGTGCTTTACCCCGGACCAGAAGGATTTGCCGGAGCTGGTCCCAGTACAAACCCCGAGGTGTCAGGCTCGTTTATGGACACCGAGAGCTTTTTCTCCGCAAAAGGATGCGTCTTCCCTCGAGCTCCCCCGAAGCACGAAGGCGAAAATCAACTTTTATTCATTAAATCGCGCCCCACGACTGCCAGCCCTTTCCTCCCGCAGTACGAGCGATGTTGTTTGTTTGCTTAATTTCGGGCAATTCCTTATCCAAAGCTAATTAACTGCGATCTCACTCAGCCCCGGCTGTTGTGAGACGGCCGGCAAAATTACACATAAATAACAGAGTTTAAGCGAATTTCACCCTCCGCGTTCCCGTCGGGGCAACCGCAGCGATGCTAATCTCCACACAACCCACCCCCCCACCCCCCCAGACCTCCGTTTTGGGGCTGATCCATGGGAAAGAGGGATCGGATCCCTGAGCGCCGGGGCAGCGCGGAGAGACCCCCCAGGACCAAAGGGGATGGGATTGGGGGGGGGGGGGGCACGGACAGACACACAGCCGGGGGGCTGGGGGGGGGGGGGGAGCTGCTGCCCCCGCGCTCCCGGCAGCCAAATCCCCGGCGCCTCCCGCAGCTCCCCACCCCCGGTCCCTCCCCCATCGCCGCTTTTGGGGCCCGGCCTTGCCCCCCTCCGCCCCCCTCCCCGGCGCGGAGCCGCGCTACTGGCTGCTCCCCGCTGCCGGCCGCGGGCGGGGAGGCCGGGCGCACCGGCAGCGCCTATAAGGGCGCAGCGCCGCAGCCCCCCGGGATTTTTTGGTCTGGGGCCACCGGTGCCGCGGGGGGGGGGTGGGGGGGGGCCGCTGGCTGTCCGCCGGAGAGGACGGGAGCGGGGGGGGGGGGCGGGGGGAGCGCCGGCCGCCCTGCATGGCCAAGGGATTATGAGCGCCGGTGAGTTGCAGCAGGCGCAGCCCAGAGCCTCGGCGCCGGCGGCCGCCCCCGCGCCCCCTCAGCCCCGCAGCGCCCAGGAAGCCCCCGACATGGCGGTGTACTGCAGCGAGAACTTCAGCGTCTACCCCCAACCCAGCCTCCACCCGCCCGGCGCCGCCGCCGCCGCCGCCGCCGCCGCAGCCGCCGCCGCGGCCGCCGCCGCCTCATCGGGGCAGCGGGCGGGCGGGTACTCGCTGGGGGACTACGGGGCGCCCGCCAACGCCGGTTACCTGTGGGGCATGAACAGCCCCGCGCCTTACCTGCAGGGCCCGCCCGGCTCCGCCGCCGCCGCCGCGCCGTTCCTGCCGCCGGCCTCGTACGGCTGTTCGCGGGGCGGGCAGCTGGTGGGCTCGCCCTCGGCGCCCGGGTCGCCGTCGGCGGGCGGCGCGGAGCTGAGCTGGCTGAGCCTGGCCAGCCAGGAGGAGCTGCTGAAGTTGGTGCGGCCGCCTTACTCCTACTCGGCGCTGATCGCCATGGCCATCCAGAGCGCCCCCGAGAGGAAGCTCACCCTCAGCCACATCTACCAGTACGTGGCCGAGAACTTCCCCTTCTACAAGCGCAGCAAGGCGGGATGGCAGAACAGCATCCGCCACAACCTCAGCCTCAACGACTGCTTCCGCAAGGTGCCCCGCGACGAGGACGACCCCGGTGAGGCCGCCGCGCCGGGCGGGAGGGTGGGCTGGGGCGGAGGGGAGAACGCCGTGAGGAGGGCGGGCGGCAGCGGGTCCCTGGTCCCGCGGGTCCCTTGTCCCTTCGGCGCCGGCGGCGTGAGGAGACCGGGCTCCCTCGTCCCCTCTAACCGGTCGCCGTGAGGAAACCGGGCTCCCTTGTCCCCTCTAACCGGTCGCCGTGAGGAAACCGGGCTCCCTTGTCCCCTCAGCGTCGGCGGCGTGAGGAGACCGGGCTCCCTTGTCCCCTCAGCGTCGGCGGCATGAGGAGACCGGGCTCCCTCGTCCCCTCTAACCGGTCGCCGTGAGGAAACCGGGCTCCCTTGTCCCCTCGGGGCTAGCGACGTGAGGAGACCGGGGTCCCTTGTCCCCTCTAACCGGTCGCCGTGAGGAGACCGGGCTCCCTTGTCCCCTCAGCGTCGGCGGCGTGAGGAGACCGGGCTCCCTCGTCCCCTCTAACCGGTCGCCGTGAGGAAACCGGGCTCCCTTGTCCCCTCGGGGCTAGCGACGTGAGGAGACCGGGCTCCCTTGTCCCCTCTAACCGGTCGCCGTGAGGAAACCGGGCTCCCTCGTCCCTTCGGGGCTGGCGACATGAGGAGGCCGGGCTCCCTCGTCCCCTCGGGGCTGGCGACATGAGGAGGCCGGGCTCCCTCGTCCCCTCGGGGCTGGCGACATGAGGAGGCCGGGCCTCCTCGTCCCCTCTAGCCGGTGGCCCTGAGGAGACCGTCCCCCTTCACCCCTCGGGGCCGGCGCTGGCCCCTGCGGGCGGTGCAGGCGAGGGGCGGCTGGCCGCAGCCGTCCCCGAGCTGGCCGGGGAGTGCCGGTTGTGCAAGGCCCGGCTCCTCCGGCCGTGACTCACGGCTCCCTTCCCCGCTCGCCGTCGCGGCCCCGGGGCACGGCCGGTGCCCGGGAGCGGGCGGAGGGCAGAGGCGCTGCCGGACAGCGCTGAGGCCGGCCCGGCAGGGAGGGGACGTGCCTGTTTGGAACCTCTGAGGGCACGTCGTGGGGTCACTGCATTTTGGGCATGGGGCGGCTTCTCCGCAGCCCCCAGCCCCCTCGGTGTGCCTGGGTGTGCCAGCCCGCCTTCCCACCAGCTCTTCTGAGAAGAGCCCTTGGCAGGGGCGCGGTGTTGCCAGGCGCTGCCGAGATGGCTGCAAGTCCCCCTGCTTGCTGTGAGGCAGCCAGAGCAAGGGGAGCCCCCGCTCCTCATTCCCGTCGGCCAGGTCTGGGGTCGAGGTGCAGATCCTCACCGATGGTCTGTGATGGGGAGGTTCTCCCCCTCCATGATCCCTGAAGGTTCATCGGTGGGGTGGCAGTGGCGATGCCCTGGAGCTAGGTTTTGGATCATTGTACTGTACAACAGAGTAGGAACCAAGCAAGCGTAGGAGAGACGTGGGTTTTGTGCCGATCAGACAAGACATGGATATTGCTAACCTGCAGTGGGGCTCACTGCCACAGAAGGTGACTTTCTGTCTTGTTTCCCTTGTTTTCCACCAGGGAAGGGAAACTACTGGACCTTAGATCCCAACTGTGAGAAGATGTTTGACAATGGGAACTTCCGTCGCAAGCGCAAGCGACGATCTGAGTCCAACGCCCCCGCGACCGTGTCTGCAGCCTCCTCGCTGGGGGGCCTGAAGGCCGAGGAAGAGCGACCCATCCCAGCTGCAGGCAAACCGTGTGGAAACAGCCCACCCCCAGAGCTGGACCCTTCACCTTCTGCCAGGGACCATCCAAAAAGCTCCTCTCCCTCCGGTATCATTTCATCCACCCCTAGCTGCCTCAGCACCTTCTTCAGCGGCATGAGCTCGCTGAGCAGCGGGAGCAGCCGGCTGACAGGGGGTCTGGGCAGTGACCTGCACCACAGGAACTTCTCTGCTGGACAGCTGAGCAGTGGCACTTTCACCCCTTCCAGCAGCTCTTCTCAGGAGGTGCCTTCACCAGATCAGCTGCAGCGGGTTGCGGGACCTTCCCCCGCTTACTACAGCTCCTTCCATCCCAGCAGCAGCAGCCAGGGAGCCCAGTACAACCACTACTACAACTTCACGGTTAACAGCCTCATCTACACCCGAGATGGAACGGAGGTGTAGGATGGTGGGGCAGTCAGCCGGCGAGCGCTGAGAAGGGAATGGGAGTTGCAGGTGTATTTGGCAGCACGGAGGACCATATGCTTTTGCAAACAGCATTTCAATGTGGACACTTCCCAGGAGTTCTTCCAGGAAGACAGATCTTCTCACCTTTCAAAATAAGAACACCCCTTAAACACCAGCAGAAGGCAGATGCAAAGTCTTTTCCCCATCCTGGAAAATGTTAGGTGGTTTAGGTGGCTTGCCATCTAAATTCTGCAGACAAAAGTGAACTGAATTAAGGTTTTCAGAGGTTTCTAATCCTGAGTATAGAATAAGGACTTTAAAAACTATAACCATAAAGTGATATCAGCAGGAGCCAAGTGTAGACATCCAGTAAGTCTTAGAAGAGAGCAGAAAAAAAAAAAAAAACAAAACAAAA